GACAAAAGAAATTTATTAACTGCAGATATTTTTTAAAATATTGAATTTATTATATTCAAAGAACGGTATAGTAAAATTGTATATTTGTTGCTCCTTAAGGAATATGTCGAGTTAATACTGAACAAGTAAAAATGGATGGAAGAAGTATAAGCAAAATGAAAGAAGTTCAAGATCATTACCTCAAGCTAAATGAAGCAGTAGCAAAGTTTTATTTCTGTGTTGAATCAGTTATTGACTTATTGCGTTCACAATTTTAATTTATCGCTAAAATACTTCCTAAACCCTCGTTACTTAAATTTTCTTATAAATATAATCCATTCTTATCCGATTATCAAGAAGAGAATGTTGTAATGAAATAGGCAAGCACTTCCCCTCATCCAGTTAATCCATCACTAAATGAGATTAACACGAAATTTCTATTGTTTAGCTACGAAATTATCAGACACTAATATATTTAGATTAGCTAGGTCACAAAAAGACGCAACTCTATACATAGTGCAAAAAATTGATATACACCCTGGATAATGTGTGTATAAATCCCCATAAAAAAAAGTAAAAAAAAAAAGTAGTAGTTGTTGTTTGGGGACCTTATTAAAAGGAGGCAGGTGCAGTAAAAAGAAAATTGGCATGTCTAGGCAACAATAGTTTCTAAAATGTGCAAAGTCATTTATTATTCCTCACAATAAATCTGCCACTTCTCTGAATTACACTATCTTTGACATATTACAGAAACTTTACTGTACTATAAAAGCTAAATATTGGCCACAATAAACTTGATTGGGACATATAAGTACTTAATGGATAATCACAACAATGTTCATTGATATGATCAATACAATGGATACTTCCAAACTTCCACCACCTAGCTAGCATATATTTTTTAAAAAAGAAAAAATATAATAAAAGCCAGGATTTGAAATTTAATTATGAACTTTTTTTTTCATTTAAATCTATGAACTTATGAATAGACTCATAGCTCGTTTTAGTTACTAAGTTCATATTAAAGGATTTTTTTTAAAAAATACAGAATTCAATGTCTGAGCAAACTCATAGCTCGTTTTAACCCGTACCTAATATTATTGCTATGCTGCTACTATTAAGTTTTTTTACACAATAACGAGGTAAAAATATATTTCCACAATCAAATCGATTTTCTATGATTTCTTTTTATGCGATTAGAATTAAAAGTATTATAACAAGTAATAACTCGCTATGACCAGTTCAACTACACTCATACGAGTTGTATATACGTTAGTGTGCTAGAAGAAAATAATACTAACATATATACATGTCATGATATTAGTTAATCCTTTATTTTATAAAGTTTTCAATCTATGTATAAATAATATACATTTATTAGTTATACAACCTATTTAGTATTATCAGGTTTGTACAACTAATACATAACAAACATGTTATTAGCATGAATAAACTCATGCAAGAGTTATTAATACACCAATAAACATGATTAACGACACAACTACCTTAATACACCAAACAATAGATATAGAAGACACTATCTTAACATTCCTAACGTCAATATTACTAATACATTATATTCAATACTATTCTTATATACTCTACGAAACGAACTAATAAAGAAACCAAGCATCTAAGAACCCAATGCCAGTAAAGCCTTGGGAAGAAAAAAAAAGTAGTTAATGTGCATATTGTACTATAAGTTGTTTGCCCTAATAAAGAAGAGAGTACTTAGTTTCAGAATTTTCGAATCAAAGGAAAGCTTCTCCGCATTTTCAGCAAAGGGTAGCCTATATATATATATAGTTAAAAGCTCTTCTCTTATTCTGCCACAAAAATGTACTTAAACATATTATACCACCATTTACTTTTAATCTCTTTATCTTTAATTTATTATTCACACTTCTATGTCTAGTCTAATTTGAAGAAGAAGAAAAAATAACAAGGTTTGTTTTATTTGGCTATCTTAAAGTATACTCGAAGTCAGGGGCATATTCAAAATTTAAAGTTCATAATATATTAGTGACCTCAAGTTCATATAATATGTACAAGTGAGTTTACACTTAGATCATCTCCAACCCACCTTTGTTTTACTCTTCATTTTCTAAATTTGGAAAGTAAAATAGAAAATGGGCTCTCCAACCACTCTTTAATTAACTCTCTATTCTTCATTTATAGAGAGGTGAATAGTAGTTCTCCAAATTTGGAGAACTACTATTCACACTCTTTATTTCACTTTTTCATTATTTTATTATATTTCTATTATTTTGTAATTAACACATTATTTTTAATATAAGGTCATTAATTAAATATCTAACATTCGTAATTCTTTTTAAATATAATATGACATTTAAAATATATATTATTTGATATACACTACTTTCATCCAGAATTAATAATATTTCAATTTTTTAAAATTTTCATCACTTTAATATAATTTGATATTATTATTAATTTTCACTATTCAGAATGCACAAAATTAAAATGATAAGATGAAAATTTTAATTTAAAAATATAATACATAACATAATAATTTAAATATAAGACAACAATACATAATAATTTTATCGCAACAATAATTCAGTAATCCGGTAGGTCATTTCCAGATTTAACAATATTCGGAAAAAACTTAGTGTATGATCCAAAGAATTATTGTGGTTGTGATTGCGGTTGTGCTCGTTGATTTATGTAATTGTATTTCATTGATGATTTCATTTTTATTTGAATTGTCCATTAATTTGTAAATTATATAATAACTTGCAATTTATGTTATTTAGAAATTTAGAATAAAATAAAATTTTATATTACGTAAAAATTATATAAAGTGATTATTTGACAAAAAAAAAAAGAAGAAAAGACGGAGAAAGGATTTATATTATGAAATAAGGAAATGCCAATGAAATAGAAATAATAATATAATATTGAGGAGAGAGAAGAAATTATTTTTTAAAGAGTAAAATAGAAAATTATATTGGTGTTGATTGTATGGAAAAAAAAAAAAAAACTCTATATTTGAAGACTAAAATAGTGGACAGGTTGGAGATGCCCTTAAAATTGTCAAGTTTTCAGCTCTTTTCAGTATTTGCCTTATGGTGCAAAGGACTCTTATATTGTCATCCATTAGACTCAGATACGATAAATCGAATTTTTTTGTTAGTTAATTTACTTGTTATTAGATGTGTGGGGCTTATCTCGTAGATATTGATCTCCTGGCCCTCCTATTGTAAAGGATGAGTTATTTATCCTTATGTTGTATTAAGAGAAAAAGTCAAGCCCCCCTCTTTAAATTATTTTAAAGATATAAAAAAATATTTAGTGTCAGTTTTGGATTGACTTATTTTAGGTATTTTTAAGCAGTTTTGAAGTGTTTTGGTAAAGTTAAAAAATGCTTATAAGCACTTATTTTAAAGCCAAAATCACAAAAATAAGTCAAAAGTCATAAGTTAGAAATCCTAACTTATGGCTTTTGGCTTATAAGTCATAAGCCAAAAGCTAATCTAGACAGGCCCTTAGTGTAGTTTTTTTTCAAGAATTAAATTCAAGTATGGGCAAAGTAGTTGGATTTCCTTTGAACACATGTTGTATATATTCTAAATTCCTTTAAACACATATGTTGGGTTTCCTTTGACCACATACAAGTATTTTATCACAATATCTATATCCACTTTGAACTTTGTTGTATTGGAGCATGGAAGCTAACAAATAATATTAAATTAGTTACTAAAAATATGTACATAAAATACTTAATTTTGACATAAATTCAATCTTTACTAATGAAAAGTCAAACATGATAATTAGTCTGAAGCGGGATACTAAGAAGTGAAAGAATTCATTGTACTATCGGTGCAGATATACATAAACTCAAAAAAATATGGAAAAATAGGAGACAACATCCCAGAAGAACGGACTTATTAGAAGAAAATGGTTGTCCCCCATGCATTTCTAATCCAACACCCCCAAAAAAACAAATAAAAATAAGTAAATGAATGGTTATAAGAGGCAGATCTCAGAGAATTAAAATTATATAAAAAAAGACAAAATCTTTGGACCCAACCAAACACGAAACGTATCTATTTCTTCCCCATATAATCCGGTAAACAATCGGATATGCTTGAAAAAAAGTAGTACTACTAAGTTTAAATGTGACCAGAAAGATAATTGAAATCCATACTTAGAGTAGAAAAAACCTAGAAAAAGAGAGTAAAAATATAAGATATGCAAAATAAACCACAAAAATATATCTCCTTCGTCCCAATTTATGTAATATAACTCGTCTTGACACAAACTTTAAGAAATAAATACATTTAAAATATGAAGTATGAACTCGTATAAAATGAGTTACAAATATTTGTGTGATTATTGATTAATTATATTCATCTAAAATAGAGCGTGAAAAGATTAGAGAGATTGACACTATGTTGAACTTTGAGATTCAAACTTCTAAATTTTGATCATAAATTTGGACATAGAGGTTCTATGTTTCTAGATATACTTGAAAACCATGTGAAAAAATATTATAAATCACAATGATTAACATCATAAAAGACATAATATACAGAAATTTTGATCAACCAAAACTTGATTGACTCTTTAAATTCTAATTATAACACATAAATTGCAACAAAATGAATATTTCGATATAAAATTTATACCAAAATCTTGCCATTATCTATCTCATATTGAAGGATGTAATCCTTTCGAACCAATATACCCCATGACATGATATATAATAATATGCATAAATTAAATTGATCTCCTACTAATTCCTTTTAGCAAAATCACAATAAAATAATGGAGCTTATAGATAAGACAATTATATTAATACTAACCAAATAAGAGTCATACTTGAAATTCAAAATATTAAACTAACATCATATAAGAAAACCAATGTCTAAATTCATGGAGAAATACTGGAACATTAATTTCTCCTTCCCATTACCTAAATGGATGTCATTGAAGTTAAAGCAAAATCAATAATTTGATACTTCTAATCCTTCCCCAAAACCAAAACGTTCTGAATTTTCATAAATTCTGAATCCGCCTCTGATTAAGGCCGGGGAGGTGGAAAGAATTGCGTACCAGCCAGGAAAGCAGTAATGGGAGTTGGATACACTGAAGGATCATACATTGTAACAGCCGGCTGATGTTGGTGACTAGTGGTGGCGACTGCTGTGGTGGATGTGGTGGCGCCGGTTATAAAATTCAGTGCTTGTTGAGCGGCGCCACTACCAGATGAACTCTCTCCACCACCACCACCGCCACCACTATATCGACCTTCTAGCCCTTGATCATACAGAATTCCTTTGAATAAATGTCCACCAATATTCACAGCCGTATGATAAGCATATTGATCATCTGCATCGTCGATTGCACTCACTTTTACGCATCGAAAAACAGCTTGAGAACTCACTTCCGATGGAAAATGACCACCTAACTCTAACCCTAGCATTCAAAAAAAAGAAAAAAGAACTTTAGTACCAAAATCAAATAATGAACTTCATGAATATTTCAGAGTAACAAAGTGAAATAAAGCAACAAAATCAGAACAATTTTGTTTCGTCAAGTTTACTTCTATACAGTAGAAAAAAGCAAAAAAATAATTGAGAAATATGAAATTTAAATATGTAAATATTATGTTTGTTGTATATATAGTCCCACGAGACAATGTTATGTAGCATATTTATCACGGATTTTTGTTCTATACGATAATTTTTCTTCCTCTTATTTTGTAATTTAGCATCAAAATTCTAAAACACACGATCTACCTCCCCGAAAAACCCACAAATTCATTTTCATGACGCATTTGAACTTGTGATGATTAAATTCTGAATCCGTCTCTGATTACCTGGCGAGATGTTGGGTATACGAGTACAAGCAAGAGAGGAGGAAGATGGGTTTTCTCTTGGCCTTTTTGAAATATTAGAGTGATGATCAGCTCTTAAGCTAAGAAGTTGAGTTTGTTGCTGTTGATTTTGTTGTTGTTGTTGAAGAGAAGTAAGTTGTTGCAACCGTTCACGTCTTTTAGCAGCAGGAACCCAGGTACTTTTAACGTGTGTATGACATGGAAATCCTCTGCTCTTACAGCAAGTCCGGCACCTCAAATGTGAACAGTCTTTTTTAGCTTGATTTCCACAATCTTGACAGTTAATTCCTCCACCAGCACTACCAGTACTACTGGGACGCATAACGCGAAACCCTGATGATGATCTATAAGAAGACGAATTAGTATAATTGTTAGTAATATTTTGATGATGATTATGATTATGATTATGATCATCAGTACCGCCACCGACAATGTTATTGTTACCACCACTACTACTACTGCTTCCAGTACTGATGATTCTTCTGTTACAACTGGGACCCACACCAACTGAGAAATCCACATCTTGTGGTTGATGATGATGATGGGGATGAGGCTGAGCTCGTTGTTGATGCAACTGATAGTACTGCTGCCATAACTCGAAACCCTTATTGTAGATCTCGTCGTCTTTGAAAAGAAGTAAGCTATTTGTAGCTAATTGATCTTGCTCTTGTTGTTGTTGTTGGTTCTTATTTCCTCCTCCAGCTCCGCCACCACCTAGTGTGAAAAATCCAGACATATCTCTGCTGCTGAAGTGTTTGTCGTCAATTTTAACTCTATATCCATAGCCAGAAAAACAAAAACAAACCTCTTTAAGCCTAGTAAATGGCTATGATATTGATCATCTAACAGCTATATTTGATTGGAATTTTTTTTTCTTTTTGGGCTATATTAAGTGCTTCTAGCAGCTTTCAGGACAATTTTATTTGTTTTTCAGGAAATCGAAAGAGGAGAAAAAAAATGGTTGCACTTCTCTACTTTTATGGTGCATTAAAGTCGCAGACTCTGCAACGCCGCCATGGCCACTGCTGCTACCTCTTCCTCAATTTAAGACTATACAACAGTACCATCTTTCTTGTCTCTCTCTTAAATTTGTAGTAGTACTAAAAAAAAAAAACTGGTTTCTCTCACACACACTAATTCACTCTCTCTTTCTCACACTAATTCTTTTTTTTCATTTTTTTGTTGTTGTTGTTTCCATTTCTTTTCTACAGTTCTCTTGCAGTTGGAAGCAATAAAATCTCATCAACAAGGGTTTCATCTTAGCCGTTGCATGGTGATCGGACGGGTGTAATTGTTCCACGTGGTGAAGAATCAGCTTTTGCTTATTCGTCCTTGCACCGGAAAACACGCTCTACTTTTTCTGACCGTCCCATAATTAAGAAGTTTTTTCGCAAGATTTCTAATTTCAATAAAAACAAAAAATCTATAAATATTAATACCAAATGAGGAAATATAATATAAATTTAAAATAACAAAGAATTACGGTAAATTGATAAGTATTTGTTCAGCATTAATCAAAAGTTTTGAATTTGAGTTATTAATATTGAATCGATTTAAGTAACCAGCGTTTTCATTGTGAAACTTATAAATATTGTACTCTATTGGGCAGCAAAAAGATACTCATCTTCGTTCTCTTCTACTTGTCTAGTATTATAAAAATATATTTGCATTTTAACTTGTTACATTAATATATCAAGAAAAGTTAAAGGATAGTGTGGTAAAATAATCTTGTTAATTATAATTTAGACGTGATAAATATAAATATGACGAGTAAAAATAAATGGATAGAATAATTTTACAGCTATTTCAGTAATTTTCGGTATTACAGACCAATTGAAGGACGTGGACATTAGTGGCTTTGATTACGACGGGCAAGAACCACTAACCCTAATATAAACCTATTCTAGTTATATAAATTTATAATCATATTATTAATTAACTAATTGAGTATCATGAACTTGTACAGTATAAGTAATGACTTATTAAACAGTATAATTAATGATTTCTTATCTGTTCTACAATGATTTACTGAACAAAATTATAATGATGTAATAATTCTTTTATATAGTCAGTGTACAGAAAAATTAAACATTGTTTGAGATCAAAATTAACTTATATAAACCTGATAATAATATAGTATAACTAGTTTCACCGTTATGCATCACAAAAAAGAACGTATAAATTGAGAATTAACGGAGAGATCATAGGTTCAACAAAGGTGCCAAAAAATAAGAGACTTTGAGCTAGAAAATATGTATATAAATTATCTTACGGAGAATTAAATCATAGATTCACGTGCCGAATAATTATTTCTACTTCCTTTTCTTTCTATTTTTCTTGTAAAACTCCAAGAATTTTTAGAATTTCAAAAACTCTTCCAACATGTTCATTAATTTGTGCAAAAAAACGTTTTGTATTCCACTATAATTCTTTGCTAATCATTTATAATTTTGACTTATTCAGCAGAGATCAATTTTATTAATATTGAGCAGAATATTTTTATATAATCGATTCTTGAAAAAGTAAATAAATGAGTAATAGGAGATGTCTATATCTTTAGGTCAACTCCTTGTGATGTAACCGGGGGCGAGGGGGAGAGGGGGGGGGGGGGGGGTCTTAAGTATATAATACTTAAATTAGGATTCGGCTCTTCTCCATTTCCCTTCCCTCCATTTTTCCCAAGTTTTTGTTTGGACGTGAGACACATGGCATAGGTAAAAACTAATGGTTAAGATTTAATTGAATAAAAATAAGATTTTAATTATAATTTAGATAATTAATACTTCATAAGAAAATTACAAGACCACAATCATAACAATATATTATCTTGTCCATAAATATATATATATTTTATTTTTTTATTTTTCCTACTAGTATTATTATAAAATAATTTCTCTTTTTATAATTATTTTTTCCGTGCGAGTATATTTTCTATCAATTATATGTAAATTAATTTCAAAGAGAAAGTTCAAAGTTGCTTTCTAAGACTTACTCATTTAAAAAATAAATAAACAAATGGAAGATAACTACTCGTAGGAAATTTTTTTTAGAAAAGAGAACAATTTTTATAATATATTTATGGATAAGATATTATATTGTTATGGATTATGATTATGGTATTATTTTTCTTATGAAATAATTAATTATCTAAATTATAATTAGAATATTATTTTAATCTATAAATTTTAGCTATTGCTTTTTATCTATGTCAAATGTCTCACATAAAAGCAAGAACTTGGAAAAAATGGAGGGAAGGAAAATGGAGAGGAGCCGGATCCCTTAGTTATACACTATTAATACAGTAGCAGCCAATAAAAAATAATGTACTTTAAATAATATATTCTTAGCTCACAGTCTGTCAGCTGTGTCTTCGTAATTGAGACATAACCAAAAAGGTCTTTCAATAATACATCCAAACAATAATAATAAAAGGATAGAAAATCAATAATATCACAAGATTAAATCCAATAAAGAAATAATTAATACAATATGTGGGGTTTAACAGTACAGAAAAATCTAAATAATGATGATATTGTTTCTTAGGTAATGCTAAATAGCCAGAAATTTTTGCCAAAAATTTTAAAAATCTATAAAAAAAAAAAATAAACAAATAAACTGACCTTTTTTCCACTTTTTAATTAATAAATATTTAAAGTTAAAAGAGTAAAAATATTTAAAAAGATAAAATAACATAAGTAAAATATCATTTTAGCCAAATTTTCTGACAAAAAGATTTTTACTTATTTCTCACTATTTATGATACGTTATGACGTAGCATATATGCAACATTTTCTTGAATTGAGAAAAATAGAATTACTAAACCAACCGATAACGATTGTGATAGATCGGTAAGTAGTCTTTCATTTTTAATCATAGGTTTTGAATCGTGTTCTTCTGGGTATGAAATCGAATTTGTGAGGGAACGCTTTATCTCCATATGTGACTTTCCGATGAAAATTTAGATTTTTCAAGGCTCTAATATGAACCACAGACAGCGAAAAGAAGTAAAATGATCATGATGACTCTGATATAGACATCGAACATCGAATTAAAAAAAAGTACTAAACTGATCATGATGGTGATCTGTTTCAATTTGAAGGGTCTTTGGTAAACAAAATATCCCAAAGATGAAAAGAGATCTTTCCAAAACATAGTATTATTATATTCAAAATGAAAAACAAAATGAAGGTTTTAATTAAACAATTCAATCTTTCAAAAAATAAATCAATAAATATGCCATACATTTTTTCCCAAAATTTCTTTTCAAAGTTTTTTTCTAAATCTTAATGGCCATGATCCTTTTAGACAATTTTAAGCATGAAATATTAAAGTCACGAGGATGTATTTTCCTTAATAGCTTAAATTTTTCAATAAGATAATAACACTTTAGTATTATTTTAGAACAAATAGGATTTTTGAATTTAAGTTTTACCCTTACATATTATATAAACACGAATAAATTATTATGTCTAGCTCACTAAATCCCTAAGAAAGACATGTTGAGACATAGTAACTTAGTAATTCAAATATGAGCACTCTCTAGCTATTGGGTTAAATTTAACTTTTTAGATGTTTTAGTCACACTTCAACATGAAATCATGATGCCATTCCCCAAAGATTGTAACACACTCTTTGCTATACCTAGTTTATCCTAAATGTTATTGAATGATTGTTTCATATTTTTTTATTTATATTGCAACTTGAAGATCTAGAAACTAAGCCCCTTGTCAAGCTTGGTCTTTTATCATTTCACAAACAAGTTGAAGACTCCTCCAAATTCAGCATGTCAATGGTTATAATTAACAAACAAAATTAATTTTCGAAAAATTTGCCATATTGCTTAAATTAAAGTATCGTTTCATTGCAAAATAAAGATAAGATCTGCATATATCATATTTTTTTCATATCTCACTGTAAATTTATACAGAGTATGTGTTTATTGATGTAAAGTGTTTTTTTTTTTTATTAAAAAAAAAGAGTAGAAGAATAAAAATAAAATAGTTATTAGAACAAAACATAGTTTTAGAAATGAATTTAGAGTCTTACTAAAATCCAATGTAGCTAATAAGCGTAGGATTGCCACTCTCCAATACCGCACCTCACGCTCAAGATTGGATATTTGGTGCATGAAAAAATTAACTTGGGACCAATCATCAGTAATATTAGATATGTCTAACATAACACCAAAAGCTAGCTCATGAGGAGAGTCTTGATCAAGTCCATCTAAAAAAATATTTATTTCTTTTTCATTTTACGTGAGACTCTTCAACACATAAACATATTTTTTAATTAATCATATTTTATTTTGACTTCATTTACCAAATATTATATTATAATATCATTGCAACCCATATTTTTATTTTGTCTTTAAACTTGATCACAAACATCATGTCATTAACTTAACATCTATACCCTTTACTTTTGTAGTGGGTTTTCAAGAATCCAATCACTCACTCATCACATTGTGTGATACTTAATTCTTCTACACTTAGGAAGCAATCATGCATGACCATGATTAAAATCAAGTTACTGTATTTAGTCAAAATATTCCATTTTATTTATAATAATAATTAAACTACAAAATTCCAATTACTTACATCATTAATTTGAGTATAGCTTTTGAATCTCAAATACAGTAACATTGACCAAAATTCTCTTATTGTTTTCTTTTCTTTTTCTCATAGTCATCAAAACATTGACAAGATTTATTTTGTCCATTGGCAATATAATAATTTGCCCT